GGGGGGGGGGGGGGGGGATGAAGTGAAAAAGGAGAAAGACTAACACTAGGATGACAGACAGCGAAAATGTTTACATTACACATGCATGAAAGAGTCCTATTTCAAGCTTTAATAATATCTTATGAACCTACCTTGGCCTAGGTCATAATTCGCACGTGTGCAACAGATGCCACGAAAACACATGGCTGGCATGAATTTTAGTTTGACACTAAAGTGCCGTTGGTAGCTTCGAAGATTTTCTAAAAAATCCGTTTTTGTAATTCTATCTCTTCGAAAAAAATCTCCCATTACGTGAGACTGGCATATTTTTTACCGAAAGATTAATTCGAGAAAGAACTACTAGCGAATGGCCGTTGTTACTTATATTTCTAATTTACAGAACGTGTACATTAAAATATAATTACAGAACGTGTACATTAAAATATAAAAATTTTCGTTACTAATTTAATATTACACACGCACACACACACACATATACTTCATTAAATTTATAGTTTTAAATTATTTCTATGACATAATGCGTGCGTACGTGCGTGCGTCTGTGTATGTGAGAATAATGCGTTTGATACAAATACCTTATTCTTAACTTATTGACTTTTATGCTTAAATATATTTTCGCGTCGATAAAAGATTAATGCTGCGTTATATATTCATATGCTAAAGGTCGAATATTGCATGATTTATTTTCGCGATGACATCATTCTGATTATCCTGGATTAATAATTACTCTAAATACTAATGACTTACGCTAGTCTATTTTCCAACGGCATAATCGTGACTCGGCGATCACATTATGATTTTCGTTTTATATATTGTTACATACGCCTTGCATGTAGAGGAGGAACCGGTTATCATACATGAAAATAACTTCGAAGGTAGGGATGGGCTAAAAATAAATCTCGTGCTTGTTCTCTTTCATTCGAATAATTCAGCGAAATAATAGGTATGTTCCTGCATACATGATGTATGATTTGTCGAAAATTGCAATGTTCCAGTATAAGACAAATTTTTGTTTGATTATATGGAAAAGAAACATTCTTAGTATTTATTGAACGAACGAGTTTTCTCGAGTTTCGCGAGTCTTATTTGATAATTAATTGACATCTGGCAGTTTTGATGCTGCAAAATAATTCCCAAAAGATAAATAAATCTTCTATCATGAAAAAATAGCAGATTTTCAGCATCCTTCTTATAATGGCACAATACTGTAATTTCATTATAGTTCTGATAACCGCATTTTTTTAGCACAATTCGGAATTAATGTTCAAACTGTTAATCAGCGGGTTATCACGGAACCGACGTGCGTAATTTTTAACGAACGCAAAAAGCACTGTTTATTTGAACAATGTGAGTAATTGCACAAATTATGCAAATTGCACGGAACTATGCGCGCTCATCAAACAGAATCGCGCTATGCGCCAAAACTTGTTTAGTGGGCGTTTGTTAATCTTTGTTGAAGATTGCGTTGTGATAAATAAATTCTATTGGTATATTCTAAATGAAAAAGCATGAAGGGGAACTATTGGCAGCAACATATTTACTACTCATATCAATGCGCATTGTGCTTACAGTCATTGGGTTCAACTGGGTCAGGAGGCCTAACTGAATTGCAATTTTACTGATCAATGCATTAATAACTTCAGCCACTTGCAAAATTCACGTACGTGTGCGTTTTTCGCGCGCAATCAGCAAATCGCGGCTCTGATGGCGTTACATTACCTTTAAAATTAAACGTGTGTAAATACAAGTTTGTTAATCTTTCCTTATGCCTATTATGTAATTATAAGAATATAATATATTGCGCATGTGTGCAAAATACTTTATTATATACACATGCACGCGCGCGCATATACGGGATATTCTCTTAAATATTATTAAAAACTAATTGAGAATTGCAAGTGATCCTTTTTGTCTTTTGCTACAATCTGTTTCTGTGGTTGCTTTCTGATTCATAGATAGATAATCACAGACTAATATATATATATATATATTAGTATATATATTGATTCTATGGGTGTCTTTTATGAAGCTTGTTATATGCATGCGTGCGTGTGCGGAAAGTCTCGCTATCACGATATTGATATATTGATTATATCATTTGAATAATATTTTATTACCGTTATATCACTTTCGTCGCAAAATATCCGTATCACACACACACACACACACACACACACACACACACACATATATATACGTGTGTGTGGGTGCATATATGTAAAGCATTAATTTACTCAAAAAACGACACGTTTTAAATTTTCTCGTGAGCTCATCGGTGATGTTGCGTTGCATCGCTATGAAAATTAGGTCACAATTGGGCGGAATTCAATCCGGGAATCCAATTTGTTGTCGTCTTTGTGCTCCGCGGAGTCAATCCGATCGACGCGCGCACATGAGGCAGACGTTTTCAAGATCTAATTTGCGTTTACCAGGAGTCTATTTCCCGCTCTGTTCGCGTCATGCAAGATGAACGGTAAGAGGAATGTGAGCGAACGTCTAAACTCTGATATCAATCTCTCACGCGCGATGCTGTAAGATTGCTCTTCCTTTGTGTATGATAAGGCGATTCTTTTTTCGCATATTTCTTTGCATCCAATTTGTTACAATCCCGATTGACATCGCATGTACAGAGAATTTTATTTTCATCGAATCACAATTGATTAACATTCATATTTCTTGACCAATTTGAGTTAATTCTGTGGTTTTAATTATTCAATTTTCAATTATATTATAGAAGCTAATTATACATGAAATATAGAGTATAATTTTTTATAATATAATATATATTATACATAAAATGTATATTTAATATTA